CGTCTCTCTGGATGTATACCTATTCATATACGAGTACTTGGTGTAAGACACTGCTGTGTGCTGTGTCTCTGAATATAAAGAAGCATTGTGAAGTTATTCGAAGGAATAAAAACGAATATTTGATATTTTGGTGGAAGAACATTACGAAATATAGGTGGCGGAAAATCATTCACAATTCTATTCGAGAAAAAAATCGCTCATTCTGAAGATCCTGATCAGGATAATTCAACAAAAATAACAAACTATGTTGTGTGCGAAGTTTCAATTCCATTGGTCGGTTTGATGTGGGTCAAAATCACGTGTGAAAATTCCGCGTTACATACAAACTAACATACCTACAAATATACAGCATACATACCAAGCTTAAGAAAGCCTGATGATGAACAACGAAAGGAAGGACATTGCCTGCTGATCGGTTAAGACACGTTATGGTTGAAGAGTCAGTAGTAGTGCGTATTTACCTATATCGTACTGGGCTGGCCAAGGGCAAATAAAAACATATAATTATCATAAATCATCGATGATAAAACAGCAAATCATTATCAAAAATGCACATTTTCCACACTACACCAAACAAAAACAACATCAACATGGCTGACGAATGATCAATACTCGAGATTACAGAAAATTTGGCTCTGATTGAATCTACAACGAGTATAGACATACGTTTTGTCAAGACTTCATCAAAATAGAGATCAAATACATGAATTTCTGACGTTGATACATACTGCCCTAGTACCATATCGACAGTGTCCTGATAGGAGTCCATGCAGTTACTATTAGGATCTTATTTTTACCAAGGTTCTGTAGCTTTTCTGGTTGTGGGTTGCCAGGAGTGTCTTCGCTTGTCTCGTACCTTGCAGATCCTGCCAGTATTTGGCTCTCTTGAGATACATTCCTTCTTCCAATTCTCCAACTAAATATATTGTTATTTTACTGATCCCGCAGAAGGGTTTGGGTCCCATGAATTAGGTTTCGGTCCCTTTCTTCGTTAGTTCATCTGCTATTTCATTGGCTTCCAATCTGGTGTGCCTGTGCCTCAGAACCGAGTGAAGGGTGACTTCATTTGCTTTACCTTACTTGGCCATCAGACATGATGATGATCTCTTGTCTGCGGTAGTGTTCTTCTCAATGTTGAGCTGTGGACATATTTTCCGATGACAAATAAGTGTTTTCGCGCCTTAGAGATACTCGGATATTTGCCCAATCTCTCCGAGTATTTGATTGCACCCTGGTTAGTCTACAGAACGTTCGGCAAACTGAACAGTGAGCAGTTCTTTCGGAAAGTCGGATGGAATATCTCGACATTTTATGTTATTTCTACTCTTCTGAAAAATCCATATTTACCAATAATTAACGCATTCATTATTGAATGAATGTCATTAACTACGAGTGCTTGTCTCAAAATCAATGCAACAATCATAGTAAAACTTATTTAAGGGTATAGATAAGGAGATTTCAAGTATTTATTTTATATAGACAATTTATATATTTTAGTAAATTGCTGTTCCGAATGTTTTGGTGATAAATCCGACCGAATTATCAACAAATTTTGACTAAATTGTATTTTTTGCAAAGTTATCACACTCCGTATACGGTTTTGTGTAATACTATAACAGTGTTCATGGCCTCATTTTTCATAAAAAATTTCAGTGATCCCCTCAAACAATTCTTTTTGCTGACTGCGAAAATAACTGTATCCAGCGCATCTATGGTACCTATGTGATATTTTCATATTCCAAAATGATTTATTTATCAATTCAATAGCAATTGAGCCTGGAAATACAATCCAAAGAATTGATAACGAATTAATAATCAAATATTATGGTAATTAAAAAGATGATGTGTAGATTATATGTGAATGTTTCTTGTACAAAGATGTATAGAAAGCCCTGTTGAAAGAGTATTTTACATGTGTAAACGCAGTGAAATAAATGTTTGATTGTTCTCATATTTAATTCAACCAACCATTTTACCTACAAGTATATATCGAAGTATAAAATATACAGATACATATATGACCTATTATCTTGATGGCATTCTGCCAAAAATTCGAAATGATAGTTCCATCGAGTTTAATATGATGGAGTCAAATTTGTTTTTCTCGTCTTTCATCTCTTCTTCTTTTTTCTAAAAAATTTGATGCTCTCTAGGTAGCATATCATATTGATCCAATGATATAACCAGATATTGGAAACACGAAATTGTGATAATAATATTGGTGAAATATTGGCTCAACCTATCCCAAATTCAGTCAAAATGAATTCTGAAGGTGAAAAGCCATTTTGTTGATAGTTTCAAGTTTGATAGCACATCGCTCAGATATTATTGTTATAAAAATATCAAAAGAGTAATATTCAACTATGAATTGTAAGTATTAATGAAGCAGATAATTGAACACAAAAATATTTCAGTTTATCTTGAATTCTTGTGAAGAATTGAACGGCAGAAGCCAATTTTCTTTCATTCCTGAAAAACGGACACTCACCAACAACCTGTTACAATTCAATATTTATAAGGGTGCGATGATTCATTTATGAATAGTGATATCAGTGTGGGTGGGAAGTGTGGTATAATCAAACACACTGTTCATAGTATAAGCACCATGAACCCTCATTCAATACCTCATATATAACTATCAGTTATAAAATATATGAGCGAAGAAACTCATCATCTACGTATCTATAATGATACAGAATTGTTTAATTAGTGGATTCTACGAATTATTCGCTCCAGGTTAACCATGAATATTTCAGCGGGTAGAGGGGACAATATGAATAAATCAAACCTTATGAAGCGGAGTATATTTTGTTAACAAATTGAAAGTCATTCTGCTTCAGACATAAAGACAAAGTAGTCTAGACTATACTTTCAGAATTTGAAGTTGATTGCTTGAATAATAATAATAATGAACTAAGTAGTTTATGTAAACCTACCCAAACCATGGATTCTTGAGCGAAATAGTTTCGAGAAAACTCATAAACCTAATGGTATGCAAAATTTTGATATATTTGCTGAAACAAAACGTTCTTTATATAGACAAGTATCCTTCCAATTTGAGGATTCTCTGCATGCGAACTGTCATTTATGGCCCTGTAGTATTTCTTGGATTGTGTACAGAAGAAAATAATTTTTCCATTGTATGTACGTTTATTGCGTTTCTCCAACCTTCTGTGTACCATGAAAGTTCGATTCGGTCTCTTGAAATGTCGAATTGGAACGAAATTAGGCATCGCTGTTTAGATATTTCATTCGATTCTCCGTATTATACTTGAAACAGAATCATGTCATGAACGACCCTGTGTTAATTTCTATTGTGCATAAATTGAATTTCTCATCACCTGCCCGTCTTTGTTTACTTGCAGGGAATTTAACCAACTACATGCGATGAAAAGGCTGACATAACTTATTAGTCATGAGGGTAATGAATCAAACATCAACTCACTCAGATTCATTGGATATTTCTAAGCGTGAGGTCGATTCAAGTGGCCTAGTTTAGTGGTTATATATTGCATATTTGTGTGTAGTGGTTTGCTGTATGAGAAATCATAATTTTTTATCATTGACATGCCAGAGGTAGAATAATTTTTTTAGAAAACTCAATTCTCAGGTTGGTGAGTGTTCTAATCGCTTCATTATGGATATAAAAGTATTCATCATGTTGAAGATATTTTTGCTCCAGTTCAAATATAACGAATTCCACACTTACCATTTTTTTACCAGTTATGGGTATGCAACAAAAAACATCCACATTTCAAACATTGAGAGGAATTTTCAAGATTGAGAGAACCTAGGGAATTTTCGTGATACGATTGTCAGCTAATCTAAGAAAGACTGTTTCGGCTTGCATATCAGACTGATTTAAAAATATTGGAATTGTATACAATGACACATAGCAAAGTTTCATGTAAAAATATAGAATTGTACAGGGTGTATCATAACAATTTTTACATAGGCTGAGGGCGGATTGTTTGAACCAAAATATGGCGATGGGACCAAATATGCCTGAATAAAATATTGGTGTGGAGAAAGATACAGTGTGCGTTGAAGTTGAATTATTTTTTCTTCGTTTTTTGCTGATGATTTCACAGTACATTTATCAATTGTTATCAAAATTGGTCTGGAGGCATAACTTTATACAAGGAATGTTATTTTTTTTTTCATTTTACAGTTTCTTAGAGGGGGCGCCACGTGAATGATTCCTGATGATGAAATCGGCTAGTAATTTCTCTGACGGAATTGTTCTGTGACTGATTAGAAAATATTACATAAACATAATTTCTACGTAATATTGCTACTCCTGTTTAAACACGATATTTTTATCCGATTTCGAAAGAGACGCAATTGAACAGTTCAAAGTCTCGGAAGGGTATTTCGAATATAAATTCGTTCATGAAGAGTCTGCTTTGGACTGTCAGATAATTGTTGCTGACATGTCTTGTCAGTGAATAAATTTTAGTGCGAGTCGATAGAAAATACTTCTTTGATTGAAACGCCTTGTATCTATTTCCACAGCGATATATTTGATAAAGGCATATTTGGTCCTATCGCCATATCCATATCCAAACGATCCACCCTCAGCCTATGTCCCAACAGCTATGACTAAGCCTGTACATAGGTGAGATGTTAAACAGAAACTCCCACGTTTCCAGAGAGGAAACATATCACAATTTGGCAAACTATTGAAAAATTTGGGAATCCCAGAGTGGAGATCTGTTATTATATTTAACACGTCCCTGTTCAGAGTTCTCACGATAATTGTACGCACTGTCCCGATTTGTATATTGCCCAGGCCGTATTGAAGTCTGGAGGCAGCGAGCCTTGCCTCCCATTGTACTAATAGATATAGAGCGGAGGTGATCCCAGAAGGGCCTCCATGGCTGCAGCGGGAGGAGTTGTTGTTGAAGGAAGTATTTATTCACAGAAGTTCTTGAGGAAACTTGTCACCTCAAAATGGAGCAAGGGATTGAAAGAGGTAAAGTAAAAAGCATCTGTATGAGATCTGGCAACATTTTATTGTATTTCATTGAGATGTGATGCTTTATACAGCTTAGTTACATAGTAACAACTGTTATTTCTACTTAACACTTAAAACTAAAAAGTCTACAGCTAAGTCAGTGTGCTCGTGAAATGATATAATAATCAATGTACAGTAGATTCAACTTTATACGGTCGACTTTTAGAAGAGATCAGGTGCCTGATAAACATGCAAAATCTTATTGAAAAATTGCGTTTCCGATCTTAAAATCAGTAATAAATTTCATTGGCAAGAATTCATAACAATATATTATTCTTAAATTATTTGTTTTCGAGAGATTCATATAGACTTATGGATTAAAAAAATATAAAGACGAATTGTACTAAGTCAGATAATAAAATAAACAGTGCACATGGGATTCAAAATTACGATCCCAAAATGAAGATGTTGGATCCATATTTTTGAATCGCCAGTCATATCCTAACAAAAAACTCGAATAAATATAAATTATTTATTTTGTAGGTACAAGAATCGATGTACCAAACAAACCATGGGAGTGAGCAGTACTGTACAATAAATTAATAATATATAAATCCACTTTCTGATAGTAACCCTATTTTCTTCGAGTTTAATAAATATGTGGCATCTACTCCTAGATTATCACAGTTATATACATATTCGAAATAATTTACCCAGGAAAAATAGATAAGTACATACATAAAATCCACCAACTGTTCCAAATGTATTCTCTCCCCATATACATAATTATGTAAATTCGCGCACGCCCGTGTCAAGGTTCAAAGAACCAATCAAAAAACTGGAAAATATAAATTTCTAGAAAGAACCTGGGTATTTTAGCGGAGTGATTCCGCGTATAAATTTTTCTTTCAGAACATAAAAATATTTGGTGTAAGAGATGACATTGAATTTTTGTGACATCTCTTTCCTACTCAAAAAATTTTAATTTTGAATTCGAATTTCAAATAGACACCCTGTAGATTCTTCATTTCATTGACTGAAGATTAAATCCTTTTAAGTTTGTGGCCTTTGTCAGTATATTATATACGCAAATATGACTTATTTTCATCTATCAAATTAATTTTATTTTTTAAGAGATGACTCATGAGTTGAAAGTTATTCAAAATTCAATTGAATGAAATATAAACGTTATAAACCAACAGAGCGAAACACTATTTACTTGATTCTCTGAATGAAACAAACACGTTTCAAAGTGTTTCGACAAATTCATTAAGCTAGGTTCTGGATGGAGTTGTGTCATGTTGAAAAAAATATCTCTTCGAACATACTCCTGAAATTTCATTTATATATATATGAAAACAAAAAAATCATAGCAGGAGTCACCACTCAGAGATACCCAGTATAATCGATTATTTTAGAAGAATATTCAACCCAAACAAAAAACGAAAAGGTCTCAATTTAGAAGAATTGAGTCGAGACTGTAATTGATTCTAATTGGTCAAAATGGTTCTTTGCCATGAGGGATCAAACGTGCATACACGAATAATTACATTATCCGAAAGAGGGAATAGAAAATTCTACCACAGGCATAAGGTTCTTACAGTAGGTATTCGAAATAGAATGATTTTATTTTCACTTTCTGTCTTGAAAATTGGAAATAATGTTTTTTCTATGACCGTGTTCGAGTATGTAAGACATACTTATATGTTACACGCATATCGAATTGGTACAAAAGTGTCACTTCCACGCACTGCAGATCGAAAGGTAGATATTGGCCAAATTATTGTTGAAGATCAAATTTAACATACTTATTTCACATGAGAGTAAATCAATCTGCTCAGTTATAGCTTAATTTTCATATTTTGTCGTATAAAACATTCATTAATACATCTATTTTTGACAACGAATGTTGAAAAATCGTGTAGTTATCGAAATGTATTCTGAAACAACACTATACATCAGAATGTCTTGTCAGATGATATTAAAACTCTGCAGTTCTCAGTGGCAATCAATGAATATATTTGTCGATATGTCAGTTAATGATTATTGTATTATTTTTGTGTCTGAACCAATTCAATATCGTGGAGAAATTGATGTTTCTAACTAAAAAACGAGAAGTGTCTTTCCAGCACTCAAAATTATAAAACTATCACGAGCGCTAATTTATATACCTTTTTAAATGTATCGGATTATGGTAGAAGTTTGTCCCTATATCTTTTGGATACACCCTCTGAAATGACCCACCGCCTTCAGTTTGTTTGGCAAACATGTATCTAGTAAATACGAAAATCCTTAAATCAAAAAGAACGGCGTACTTACTGCTCAGGTCCGCGAAACGAAGAGGGCCCTGTACATACGCGAATAGTACGTTTACAATATAACCCTAAACATCTAGTTTTACAATACAGCCTCTCATAAATGAACACCAGGATAACCACAAGGAAAAACTTGAATTTTTTTGCGAAAGCAAATCCCTTAATTTAGTCCAGAAGCCGGTTTCATATCTCGACCGTCATCTGATAACGGAATGATATATGTCCCAAAGGCATGTGAAAACATTGTACTTCGACACTTGCGCCAATCACTATTCTGAGCAAAATAATTGAAACTGTTCGATTTTTTGCACTAAATTTCGTGATGATAACGAGATGAGAGTTATGCCATCAGATTGAATGGTAGATCTCAAAAACCTATCTGTGCCACCTCTTGATCTGAGTCAAATCCACGGCGCAGCGATTTATTTGCTGCCATTTTTCCGGACACACTTCCGTCATGTGATAACGGGTTGAAACATAAAGCAAAAAAGTGGAAATAATGTCTGTCTTGCGGATAATCCAACAAGCGACGATTCAAACTGATTTAAGTTTCCGAGAATATTTCGCCCCCCTCGAAAGATAATATCCGATGGACCAGTGTGAAACTCAAAATGTGGATTTGAATACTTGTTGTGCGAGCACCACAATTTTCGAGAGGGGCCAAATATTCTCGGAAATATTGACGCTCTGCCCCTAACTTAGATCAGTTAGAATCGCGACACGATTTGATTTTCGCAGAGGGGAAATTATCCCCTTTTGCTCTTCATTTCATTTCGTTTAATCACATGACGGAAGTATGTCCGGAATAATGGCAGGAAATAAATCGCTGTGCCGTAGATTTGACACAGATTGAGGGAAGGCACAGGTAAGTTTTTGAGATCTACCATTCAATTGGTATGGGATGGCAATTATCATCTTGTTTTCAAAACGCGAAATTGAGTGCAAATAACTGCACAGGAAAGTGCAATTTTTGGCACAGTGTTCGATGAAATTAAATGTTCATTTTTACATTCCTTTGGAACATATATATATATAACATTTCGTTATCAGATGACGGTCGTAATTTGCGCCGGCTTTCCTACTATTACTTCAGTATTTGATTTACTTGAAAAATAACTCTTCTTTGAATGTATAAAACTACATTCAAGTCACTGAAATCATGTACTGAAGTATAGAATTGTTCGAACTGAAACGAACTTTGAACCCTCGAACCTATACTTATATGGAGTAACTTCCAACAACTATCAGTCTTAAGAGAAAATAAAGGAGCAGTAATTAGTAGAGAATTTACTGATTAAAATCAGAAATTACTCGACTAATTTGTTTTTGAAACAACAAAAAACAGTACCAGCTAGGTATTATTTTTACACACCATGGATAATGACCTTCAAGGTATAGCGTTCTCTGCTGGGAATATAATATTGAATCATTTTAGATCAGAACCCTGTAGACAGCAAGGAGAACAGTCATTACAAGTAACTGAGAAAAATTGAAAATATAACTGCTCGATGATGGAAATGGATATTTCCTTCTGGTTATTCCGCTGTTGGTAAAAATTTTGCCGCAGTCTGTGGGACCGCGCTAAAGCGTTATAATTTATTAGAAAGGCGGCATAGATGGCGCCCGACTATCTGAAATTCAAGATGGCGCCGACCTCAGCCGCTGTGTACACGACAAACGTCACAGGCCATTTGTATGTGGTACGTGTAGGATAGGCTCGAAGAGAAGGTACTCGAAATATCGCATTTATCACATTGACAATAGATATTTACAGATAAAACAAATTTTCGATTATTGTTGTCAAAATATAAACGATTATTTTTCATATTATAAGATATCAAAAGTAATTTTATTCATTTCTCACCAATTCGATAAAAAACAAAATTGAAATCCTTCTCCAGTTTTCCAAAAGGAAGATATCAATTTGGGTGTTGAAAATATATGATATCTCAAAAAAAAGGTACCAGAATATAATATACTGAACTAAATAAAATTATCATAGATTCTGATTTCTGCAATGCTGCAATTCAGCAACTTTTGGTCACTAATACTTCGTACAAATTTGAATATAGTAAGTTACAAATATTTGATGAATAGATAATTACTATTTTTCACCCAATAATAATGAAAATTATCCAGAATTCGATCACAATAGGCTATTCCACATATGATTTTAGACGAATTGACATTTTTCTTGCGACTTCCACTTCGAGCCTACGAATTGAGCCTCAGCTTATCATTCTACGATAGAAATACGACGTTATCCATTATAATAAGTGAATGAATGTATGTGTACTTAATCCCAATAATAATTCAATTCTAAAATGTCTCAATTTGGTTCTGTTTCATATCAATTATTACAATATTTAGAACATGTTTCGTTTTACTTTCAATGGTTAAGGTTTAAAATATATCACACTGAATTTGAGAAAAAAACTATTCCATTTTTTTCCAAGTGAAACCACTCACTCACAAACACGACGTTTCTCGGCATCCTCTCAAGCTTCGTAGGCGCAGCAGATGCCGGAAGCATATTTACAAACTGAAATCTGTGAGCCTGTGATGCCAACAGTGACTCTACAAAAGCTCACTGATTTAGGCACCTGCACGTAATACGGATAATTTCTTCATGACACAATTTTCAAGTGTAGGTCTGGTGGCATAGTGGTTAGTGTGTCCGAATGTCAATTGTTGTCAGGAGCCAGGCTCCAGGTAACATAGATTATTTGTCAGAACTCTAAACATGAAAAAAATAGCCTTCTAGCTAACACCAGCCGACTCCATACTACGTGGAGTATTGTTTTATCTATACCATTTCGAAGTGTGTTGTGTCTTTTGTAAATTGTCAATGTATTGAAAGAGTACCTTATATTGAAATAAATGTACTTATTCGAAGTGTTGGTGTTCAATTCATGCGAAGATTTTTTGAATCCCTCAAATAATTTTCCGAAAGATATACTTTCTAGAAACAGGGTTCATCTGGACCGAGTAAGGTTAAAATACTTGAAAATAGTATTCTCCTTTATTATGGAGAGCTGGCAGAAGGAATATTTTCCTTCCTCCCTATTGAAGCAGTGCCTAAATCAGTGAGCTTTTGTGGCATCACTATTGGCTACACAGACTTACAGATTTCAGCAGGCTGGTGCCGTCGTATAAAAGAGGATGTAAATATGCATCACGGAAAGGGATCGCAGGCAAGGTAGGCCTGTTGAAGCGGATGACCGGGGAGGAGCCTAGAAAAGCATAATGTCCCATCTCCTTTTTCGCGAAGCCCTCCGGGCCAACCAATAACGGAAAGAGGCGTGGCAAAGGGGACGATTGTGGGGGAGGCATATAATCCTGTTCTCAGATATTCAACAAGCACTTTCCAGTTCATGACTGCGTTTCCTGTTGGCTTGCCTCTTCCTGAACTCGTTGAATTCCTCCTTCATGGCCTGCACCCTCGCATCGATATTGTCGTACCGACTTCGGATGCCTCCCAAAACCTTCCTCTGAGGCGGTCCTGGCCCAGAGGTATCCACGTCCACATCTCGGGACCCGGTAGGAGTGGAGGGGGTAGGAGTAGGGGTGCTGGGGTCGAACTCGTAGTGTCCATCGACGCTACCCACGTCCACAGCTTTATGATGCTGATGGTGGTGATGGTCCGAAGTAGACGGGGAGGAGCTAGCGAGCTCCAACCAATGACCGACGAGCGGAGGCGGTGGCGGTGGGAGGAGCGACGCTGGTGGTGGTGGGGGCGGCCTATAAGGAGGCAGCCCCCAGCTGAAGAACGTACTGCCACTGTGCGAGCTCTGATTCTGCTGGGAGGTGTTTTTGCTACCGAAACCGCTTGAACTGGATCGGCTTTCAGGTGATCTATCCAGGTGGTCCAGTTCCGGGGCACTTCTAGCTATCCTAGCATGACGAGGAGGAAGATACCTAGAACCCCTGGGAGCTCTGTGCTGGGGCACCGCTCTGGGGCTGTCTCTGATCGGATGAACAGGGACGAAACCTTGATGTTCCTCGTGGATAGCTCTCAGAGGAGGTAGCTCTTGTGAGTAGCGTTCGTGTACCGATTTGAGCTGTGCGAAACTTGGCGGAGTGGGGAAAGATCTGTCCCCTCCAGAGCTGGTGTACCTAACCGAACTCAGGTCGCTGAAGTAAAGAGGTGTCCAAGGCGACAAGAGCAGACCGCTGGAGGTGGCAGGGCTGCTCGACATGACCCCAGGGGTGTGCGGGGTGTAAATGGTGGGTATAGGCTGCAGAGCGTGCTGCTGGATGAAATAAGCTGCTTGTCCTGATGCTGACTGCCCAGAAGCGTCCGACCTCAAGCTCAGCTCACTAGGGTATCCGATGAGAGGCTTCCGCCACGAAGCTCTGTTCCTGGCCCCCCTTTTCGGCAGGAAACCTCCGTCATCGCTGCTGGAGATGTTGGATGTGCTCTCGGCCCGGAGGCTGAGGAGGGACTCGACGAGGACGAAACGTCCGTCGGCTGCACGGGAGATGCGGGCCAACGATTTCGAAGGGGAACTCGGATGGAGGTAGTCTGGATGCCAGGTGAGGCTGGAGAGGCTGCCCGATCGACAGCGGTCTCTCGGCCAGATCCAGTTGGCGATGAAAGCGAGCGTCGTTAAACCTGGTATTCGGCCTTTTCTAAGTCTAGTGGACATAAAATCAGTTGGTATTTGAGGCTGGGCGCGGTGATTTTGATGATTTCCTCGAAGCTCTTAAGATATTGAAGTTACAATCGAATGAACTGTCGGGTGATTTCAAAATAAGCTACTGAAAAATTGACAATGTTGGATATACAAGGACCAATATTTCTTGTTTTGCTATATTCGATTCTGATATTGAAAATATATAAAGAACTTTTCACCAGCTTGTGGTGAGAATCAAAAGATAAGAGACTGTCTCATTTAAAATCACCTCATTGAATTTAACATATGTCGTTAAGAGCATCGAAAAAACCCATGAATTCTCAAAACAAACACACAAAACCATACGAAAACAAAGCAATCCAATAGTGAACATGCCATGCCAAATTATTGAATGGAACGTATTATTAACTAAAACTGAATGAAAAAGTATAGCAATAAGCTACTGTATTTTGACAGTACATTTGAGCAAGTAATTCATATTTGGCCCAAACTTATTGCATGACTATAAAGAAAATTGATATATACTCGAAAGGAATTTGAAATATTGTTGAAACTGTAATTACATACGAATGATTAGAAATGCTCATTCTTCTTAGTCAGATCAGATATAAGTTAACTTATAGATAGGCCAGAGATCAATCTCTAGATACATCAAAGTAGTTATTTTTCGACTTTCTCTAGCCTATTATGTGAATAATTGAATACTTTATATCAGCATCCAATCATAGGTACTCTACACCATGATACAAAGGATTACAAGGTGTAATCGATATATATAGCAATGTCTAGATCAATTAGTAGGATTCGTCAACCATCATATTTGGTTTCATTCTTGTATGCGTTAGCCATCTTCGTCCACCTGCACAATATCATATACCTGGTATTTCTTTATATCATGGCATTTTCTGTGCACTGCATGAGACATATCTATTATTAGCAGTAGCTTTTGAGTTAGTTTAATCGAAATTGTGAACACATAAAAACAAACCAAGCTTATATTGTAACAATTATGTCTTTCTTGACGTTTCCTCAAGAAAGTTAGTGGTACAAAAAGTGCATTCCTAAGAGTTAAAATAAGAAATAGAACTAATACATGTGAGAGTGCGAGTGGAGACGAGCTGGTAGATTCAACATCTGCGTGGATCTTCACCTTTTTTCCTCCTGCGCAGATCCAGGCGGCGGCAAATAACACACGTTTGGGATCAGAAACTGGGTGAGAAAAAATGCGAGGAAGGCGCGTTAAGTTATTGCTCACGATGGACAGTTACGACAACTATTTTTCAGAAGATCAGGATTTTTTGTTGTTCAAGTGATTTTGTTGTTTCGAAAATTTTTGTACAGTGGTAGAGGAAAGTGCCATGAAGAACATACTAAAGGTCATGGCCCGTAGGGGATGAGCCTGGCAGTAGTGGGATGTTTGAAGGTAATTGTTTCAAGTTATTTTTGAATAATTCGAAAATTACGGCTTCTAGCGATAAATCGTAGGTATACAAAATTTAACAACATGAAGTTTCCTATAAAAAAAGATTCTATCCATTTTTCGTCTAGAATAACTAGTTCCGGAGATACAGGGAATGAGAAATCGAAAAGTATCAAAAATAGAATCTAATAGCATGAATTTGATGATTAACGTGAATATCAACAGAAAACAATAATTTACTCGTCAAAAACAAGCATATTGAATATATACATACGTTCTAATAATTAACAATTGTTCATCATTTTCGTCAACATTTTCCTTATCCAGCAACGTTGAACCATTCGTGCAAGTATAATAATAATAATAATAATAATAATAATAATGTTTATTCATCATCATCGAATAAGTACAGGGAAGAACCTTGTTGCTTCTAATAAAATTGTGACTTTGTGGGAATAACATATAGGTGAGCTACATAGTTATGTGAATAAACAACAACTCCACTAAGGCATAGCCAGGGCGTGGATTGCAGACAAACACTACTAAACTCCATTTCCTACAGTTACATCGATAAAAAAGTAAATACATGAAACGAGGATAAATTACAACTGGTATCAATAATGACATTGGTGGTTTGAGGTAATGAATGATGAAATGAAAATTAAGTATTATATCAGGTTAAAAAATGATACATGTGAGATGAGGTTAAAACTAAAAAAATTAAATATCAATAAAAAGGTAGCTAGCCGAATATAGGATCAATCAATTTGTGAATGATAAATCTATCTATACTGAGTAGATGTGATTTGACTTTTTTTTTTAATGACAATATGGTATGTGCTTTCCTAAGTTCTAGTGGCAAGTAATTATAAAGTCTATTTGCTAGATAGGCGTAAGTACGTTGGATTAGTGTCTTTGAAGAATATATTGTGGTGAGTGCTGCATTGGCTTTGGATCTTGTATTATGGGTGTGATCTACATAATTTGAGGATTTTCGATTTTTGAACTGTTCGTTTACAATTTTAGTAAAATATAATTGTCTCATATCAAGCATTTTGGATTCTTCAAACAATAATTTCGATGCGTATTTGAATGGTTTGTAGAGGAGAATTCTTAGGTATTTCTTCTGCAATACATCTAGTTTTTTTAAATGGGTGGATGCTACCCCACCCCATCCAAGAATTCCATATGTTAATCGCGATTCAATAAGCGCATAATAAATAATTTTCATTTGGGTGGTGTCCAAAATATTTCTGAGATATTTGAATCTGTATAGAGTACTCCGCAATGTTTTTGTTACTTGATCGGTATGAAAATTCCACCGCAGATGTCTGTCAATAGTCACTCCTAAATATTTGACCTTTTCTGATGAACGGATAGTGATATCATTGCCATTGTTGTCGATATTTAGCGATTCATAATGAGGCAAGGTATTAATGTAGCAGGAAAACGGTAAGTAGCTAGTTTTTTCATAATTAATTGACAGAGTTTTTTGATTGAAACAATCAAACAGCTTACTCATATCCTGTTCTGCTTTTATTTTAAGTTCATCCCAAGTATCAGCGTCATACAACACAGCTGTGTCATCAGCGAAGCAGATTAGCGTTCCAGATGTATTGAATGTGAGTATATTGTTCATATAAATAGTGAAAAGAATAGGCCCTAAGACGGTTCCTTGTGGAATTCCACATTCTACAAATCGTTTTCCACTAATTATAGAGTCAATTTCAACATACTGTTCCCTTTCACTTAGGTAACTTTTCATCAAATTGAGAGTATTTCCCCGAAAGCCAAGGTCTTGCAAGGCCTCCAACAGTTGTGAGTGGTTCACAGTGTCGAAGGCCTTTGCATGGCATGGCATGGCAAATGCCACAAGTAAACACAAACATCCCTGGGATGTCGCATTCATGTCACACTAGGTAACAATGCGGATTACAAGAAAACATATTGCCAGGGGACTCTTTATTTCACAAATCATTCTCAATATTCATCACATTTTAGTGGATTTGAGAAATGTAGGTGAATTTGTGAGGCACCCTAATATCCAAGAGACTCACTGGAACCTCACGTTACTGTCTATTCATGTAACAAATGGAATCGATGAATTTTGATGTTGAATGAAGATTCACTTAATACGTACTGTGAGTTTCATTTGGCATCATAATGTGAATCATAAAATGATCAAAAGTGTCCGGAATAGCAGTCATTGAGATTTCAGTCGAACTCTCGATTCGAGTCACGGATGTGACAATTTGTCTCAACTGGGACACCATGGAGCATGGCATTCCAGATTTTTGGCACCCACATTGTCCATCACATCTAGTAGAACATCGGCAGAAGATGCTTTCCAGTATTGACCTGTCTTGTCCTTGTCCATACCTATATTGCCGTGATAATCGGGAATCGACCTACTGCTCCCCACTAGAAAAAGTCACACCTGCAAACTCCTTTAATGACGAGCAGATTCTGGCTGCTCTAGGAGACCCACCAACCCACTTTGCTGGAACAGAATCAGTTATTCCTCATCCTCGAGTCTGGCTACCTGAGCTATCAATGGAGCACATTGGAATCTTCTCTATGGTCATGTCTGACCAAACTCCTGGCCAACGTGAAGCAGTTCGATTTATGGTGAAAAAGCTCTTATCTGCAAAATCCTTGAACACATTTGGGTGGCTAGTCTTCAATGCGAGCATGTCCTGCCTCAGCTCAGCTTCAGCTACTCATTGGGAAAGTATGCCTCAGTTATTATTATGTCAGACAGTCAAGCGGCACTGAAGGTAATAGAAAGCCAGGAAGAGACATCTCGACTGGTATGGGAGTGCAATAGGGAACTGAGAACTTTTTCAGACCAGAACTGCATCAAGCTAATCTGGGTGCCAGGATATCAGTGGATCGCTGGCAATGAGAAGGCTCACGAACATGCATGAAGACGGTCGGACAACGAGCCAGATCCAGGACAGACTCTTGGAGTACCAAAAAATACAGCACGAGTGTCAGTTGAAGACTGGATTCAGGCAAAACATAAGAGCCACTGGGAAAACATACCAAGAAACAGACATGGGAAACAATACATTGAGGAACCAAGTCATAAACGAACTCATGACTCATGACTGGCCATGTGCCAGTCGGGGAGCACCTCACCAGAATGGGACTGTATAATGGCGAGTCAAGCTGCAGACTATGTGGAAAGGAACTAGAAACAGTATCACATTTACTGTGCATTAAACCTCAAAAGACAGATGATTTTTGGGTAACCAGTTGGCGAACCAGAAGCCTACAAGCGGGGTAGCGGGGTGGAATGTTTGGTGGGTTATCATATGTGATGTCCATAAAGGATTTCAATGTGAGCACATTTTGCATATCGAAAGTGACCGCTTGCATGAAAAAATGTTATCATTTTCTGAATACAGGCTTATTGACCATTCAAATCATCACAGCGCTCTACATCTATGAACTTTTACATCAATGCTCTGAATTTGCTGAATTTCTATGCCCCATGGTGTGCGGCAAGTAGTGCCATATGGTTCGTATATGAATGGTGCAACGTTGCTGGATATGGAAAATGATGACGAAGATGATGA